AGGCTGGCCTCGAACTCACAGAGATCCGCCTGGCTCTGCCTCCCGAGTGCTGGGATTAAAGGCGTGCGCCACCAACGCCCGGCCAAGAGACAAAAATTCTTTAAAAAGAACACTGAGTTTGTTTTGAGTCGGTCATCTCCTGGACATGGGGCCTGCCCTTGAATATGATTTGTATATCCAATGAGACTCCAATGGAGAAAACTAATTTTTCTTCTGCAAGTGGTTGTCAATTGGAGACGGCTTCTGAGGTAGGGATAGATCCTATCTACCTCCCATCTCAGTGCTGAGACCCTATCTTGGACTCGTGCAGGACCCTGTGCATTCTGCCACCATCTCTGAGTTTGTTTGTGTGTCAGTGATGCTGTATCTGGAAGGCATTGTTTTCCTGGTATCTTCCAGCCCCACTGGCTCTTACCATCTTTCTGCCACCCCTCCTCAAAGTTCCCTGAGCCCTAAGGGGCAGTTTGAAGGAAACATCCCATTCAGCACTGGGTATTCCAAAGTCTCTCACTCTCTGCACATGGTCCAGTTGTGGGTCTCTGGAAGTGATGGCTAGTCCTGACTCTGATGATGGCTCATCTTCCCAGGCCTGTGCAGCCTGCCACGTTCTTTAGCTTTTTGTTTGGTTTTTCAAGACAGGGTCTCTCTGTAGCCCTGGCTTTCCTGGAACTCACTTTGTAGACTAGGCTGGCCTCGAACTCAGACATCTGTTTGCCTCTGCCTCCTATGTGCTACCATGTCTGGCTCCCTTTCTTTAGCTTTTAAGGACAGGACTGCTGGAGACAATTTTTTCTCAGTTCTAAAGAGTATGTTAATTACTGCATGTGATCCTGGGTTTCAAATTTTCTTCCAGCACTTTAAAATACATTATCCCCTCCTTCACTCATAAGAAAGCTCTCATTTCAAATTGTTGGAAAGGTTATTTCTTGCTGATTTGGGATAGTGTCTTCAGTTTTCAGACGTCTATGAGTCTTGGTGTGTATTTCTTTGGCTTTATACTCATTTAAAATTCATTCAGTTTCTTCAGTTTGTAGATTTCTAGTTTCTGTCAGACTGAAAGCCATTATGTCATTACAAACTTTTTCAGTCCCTCCCTTTTCCCCATCTCTTTTGGGGACTCCTATGAGGTAAGAGGTTTTTGTTACAATGTCACAGGCCTCCAACCTTTGCTCATCATTTATGGTCAGTTATCTGTGTTGATGAGAATGATGTGATTTCTACAAGCCTGTCATCAAGTTTACTGACTTTCCTGTACTGAGACCATTCACTGAGTTTTTACACTTCAGTTATTTTCTGCTCTCGAATTTGTATGTGGAATCAAGGTGTGGCAGAGCATAACTATAATCTCAGCACTCAGGAGTCAGAAGTAGAACAACGGTGAAATTGAGGCTAGTCTGGGCTAGACAGTGAGACTCTGCCTCAAAAAAAAAGAAGAAAAGAAAGAAGAAAAGAAAAGAAAAAGAAAAAAACAAAAACAATCACTAAAATTGTCCATGTGGCTTCTTCTTTCATGTTTCTTCACATGATAGCGGTTTTCAACTGAACTCTGGGTACTTAGGTATTGTCAAACTGCAAATCTACTCAAGTTTTGTTTTGTGAGCCTCCTCTGACAGAGGTGTCTGTGTGTACACCCACTGTAGGTGCCCAAGACGGCCAGAGGTGTCAAATCCACCTGCAGCTGGAGTCAGAGGGTTCTTTATAATGTGCTCTCTAGTGCAAGTCCCATCTCATGTCAACAATCCTTCATCAGTTTATTGACTATTTTCTTACTGTACAATTCTGAGAGTTCTGCACAGATTCTCCTCTGATCGACAGGGTTTCTTTTCCACTCAACTTCTACCAATACTTGGCTCAAGTTTAAGACCTATTAAATCAAGGCCTGGTGAGTAACCTGGACTTCCAGCTATTATCTCAATTATGCTAAAGTATGTTTTCCTTTATTAGGTGGTGAAAGGTACTTATTTTCCACTTAATATTATTCTATTATTACTAATATTCATTACCTCTGGACCATCTCTAGAGGATTTTTGAAGAATGTGCTAACTGTGAAGTTCAAGTACTCTGTGTGTGATTTTAAAACCTACCAGGGCATGGTGGTACATGCCTATAAAAAGGCCCAAGAAAAAACTAAATAAATAAAACCTAAGTATTCACCAAGTGTTCTAGTCTGTTTGCTTCTTACTTCAGAGGAGCTTAGTTGATCACAAATCCATTTAGGAGTTTTAATACAACAAAAAAGGAAGAAAATATAAAGTAAAAATGACATGGACCCTGGGTGTCAAGTAAAGCATTTGAGTAACAGTCCTGGTGAATGGCCAGAGAGCCATACCTTGGTTGTTCCCACGTCCTCCTGAACTTGTGGTCGGTCTTTCACAAGGGTATGAAAGCTGTCTAGGTCGGTCTACCTCCTGCTGCTGCTGCTGTTGCCTGAAAGATTCAAAAGTGAATATATGTTAAAACAACACCTAAGAAATAAATATTCCATGAGAATACCTATTCAGGTAGGAAATAAGCTGTTCAATAAATCAAAGTGGTCACTGGCCTGAACACCCCAGAAGGTGAGAATTAGTTTGACAATTTCAAGTATAAAAGTGTCAAATTTTTTATTCTAAAAAAAAATTTACATATTTGAGTTATCAGACAGGAAGTAGGCATTTTCATTTCCTTTATAAGGTTCACAAGTAGTTATTCATATGCAAATTAATGTTGTTTATGCATCTTTGATATTATTAGGAGCCACTGAAAAACACCTTTGCTAAGATGAACCATCTCAATTTAATGTGCTCTTCCTTGGCTGGCTCCTCTAGTCAGTCAGTCACGTCTGAATTTAGTAAGCTTCTCCCTGGAGACCCCTTGACTCCCCGGAGACTCTCCTGACCATCCCACTTCAAGCAGCCACCTGCCCTTCCCACTATTTCACTTCAGTTCCCAGCACATACATACTGCCACCGTGATGCTTCTGTCTGGTCTGTAGGCTAACTAGAGCACAAACCTTACGCTGCTCCTGTGTCCCCAGTACCTGAGACTATGTCAGTCACAAAGCAACTTCATCACACACTTGACAAATTAAAGAAACGGAAACCACTGTATGGCAACAACAGTGCCACTGTGCTGGAAGTATGTGCTCTGCATTTTGATTTTGATTTTACAAGGGGTTACAGTTAAGAGACTACATGAATCTCAGAAGACACTTTTTGAGCAGTCCTAAGACTGAAAGACTTATGCATTATGACACAATTACAAGTCTATGAGAGCCAGGGAGTGAAATGTGGTGGTTTGAATATGAATGGCCCCCCATAGGCTTATATAGGTGTAGCCTTACTGAAGAAAGTGTGCTACTGGGAGGTGGGCTCTGAGGTTTCAAATGCCTATGCCAGGCCAGCCTCTCACTTCCTGCCTGTGGATTCGGATGTAGAACTCTCAGCTACTTCTCCAGCATCATGTCTGCCTGCATGCCGCCATGCTTCCTGCCATGATGATAATAGACTGAGCTCTGGAGCTGTAAGCAAGCCCAATTAAATGCTTTCTTTTTTAAGAGTTGCTGTGGTCATGGTGTTGCTTCACAGCAACAGGACACTGAATAAGACACTCTCTCAAACAAGTCGTGAAGCTGGCTGTGGTGGCCTGTACTATTGAATTCCAAGCCCAGGAATTCAATGCCAGCCTGGGTAACATATCAATCCCTATCTCAAAAAGAAAACAAAACATGCAGGAGTATATTCTTGTATTTAGAAAATGGAAGCTGAAATACTACAATGAAAAGCTACAATGAGAAAGAACATAAGTTACTCCCAGATGCTTTTGGTAGGGCAACAATCTGAGTAAAGGGTTCTTGGAACTATAAGGAGCTCTGTACACTAGTTCCACTTTTAAGTAATAAACATATACAGAAAGCATCTATAAGTGACTGAGATTAAGAAGTCATAGATTAAAAAGTTGTGCATGATTTTAAAAGGACCAGAATTCAGTTATAAACAGCACATTTTTTTTCCAGCATTCCCCTCAATTTTGAAAAAAGGGCCGCTAATCAGGTTGCTAGCCTAGGATGACCTTGAATTCTAGATCTGCTGGCCTCCACTTCCCATATGTACCGTGCAACACCACACGCAGCTTGTCCTTCTCAGTTTTGAGTTTTAAATGTGAGGAACAAAACAACTGAGATAGTAGGAACTCCATCTTCTCCTTGTTGGCCTTCTGGGGTTCTGTGCCTTCATACATGGCAGTCTGGAGAACAGCCTGAGCTCTGGGGATCCTGGCATATCATGGAGGCTCCTGGATGCCCCCTTCTTCCTCCACTTAGGTATCTATGTCTGATAGAGGGATAACCTTTAATCTACTTCTAATTTTTCATTTAACTGCCAATTATTGTACATATTCATCTGGTTATTATAACTTTCAATTATGCAAAATGAGAAGAAAGTTCGCTGCCAACCTTGAAACAAGCACTGTGAAGCACTAAGATGCTGCTGTGGAACAGGTTCCTCAGCACCTTCCCACCATGTCTTCAGTCCTACAGAGGCTGCAGAGCTAGAACCTGGTTTCTGCTTGCAGAGTTAAGTACTCACATGAGCTACAAAGGGCAGAAATGAGTCAAGGAGGCACAGCTATTTTCCTGACAAGCAAAGTCAAGGAGGTTCAGTTCTGAATCCTACCTCAGGGCTGTTTCAGTGGGACCAGAAAGTCTTGACAACTATGATATGGCTTCCCAATTCCAGGATCCATCTATATTTGTTTTTTTGGTTTTGTTTTTTGTTTTTTTGGGTTTTTTTTTTTTTTTTGTATGTCTGTTTGTTTTAAGATTTAGTTAGGGAGTTATGTGTGGTGATGTTTGCCTTTAATTCCAGCACTCTAAAGGCAGAGAGAGGTTGATCTCTGTGAGTTTGGGGCTAGCCTAGTCTACATAGTGAGTTCCAGGACATCCAGGGCTATACAGAGAAAACCTGACTCAAGAAAAACAAAAACAAAAGAATTCTTTGTTAGGGGCTGGAGAGATGGTTTAGCAGTCGAGGGCACTGGTTACTCTTCAGACAACCTGGGTTCAATTCCCAGCACCTACATGGCAGCTCACAACCACCTGCAACCTCAGCCCCAGCCCCACAGGACCTAATACTCTCTTCTGGCCTCCTCAGGCACTGCATGCATGTGGTACACATATATACATGCAGGTAAAATACCTATACATATAAAATAAAATTGAAGGAAATGTTTTTCCTAATTTAATATATTTATATATGATACACAAATGTTTTAGATTATATAATTGTATAGGTGAGAACCCTCAGAGTGAGAACAGAACAGAGTGTAGAGTCCTCTGAAGCTCAGACGTGAGCAATGTGGGGGTTCTGAGACCTGAACCTTGGTCCTCTGCAAGAGTGTCTGATACCCATCATCCTAATCAGGAGTGGTCGCAGCCCTTCTCACAAACTGCTGTATACTTCAGAAGCCTGGCTCAGAACTTCCCTAATATTATAAGCCTCTAATTACACCATTAATTGGTGTTTTGTTTAAACACCCTTACCTGTTCCTATTTCTTAAACTGAACTGTGTAATAAACTAAGCCAAGCCATTAAGTGACGACATGAGTATTAGGCAAGCAAAGCATCACAACACTCCTTGGCTATGGACATTTGTATCCATCCTGCTGAGAAACACTGTTTCTTATAACAGGCAGAATACAGCATTCAAAGCTATACTTGGAGAAGACATTAATCATGCTAACAAATATCTGTGGAACATGTGACAGCTGACAAATAGTCTTAAGACTCATCATTTAATTCTATACTTCCAACAGCAGGTGTTAACAGTGCTGGTGTGGACTCTGGCTTGGGTTTTGTGACTGATAAACAGATTTACAGATCACTGCTAAAAAAAAATGTCATGTTAAGGAGATATTACTTAGCGACCCTTGCTCATAAACTATGAATTTATAATAGGCTAATTTTTAGTACTATTTTTTACACAAGAAAAGAAATCCTACAATGTGTTTTATTTGATATCTACATTAAGTATGAGGCTTCTAACACTCAATGGAGGAAGACAAGGGATGAATTGTGACTAACAAGTTAGCACCAGGCCAGTGTGGAGAGGGAAAGAAGGAAGTCAGACAATCTTACAGCCAAGATCCCAAAGACAGAATCTGGAGAGAGAGGGGACTATTCCAGCAAAGCAATCAGTGATTTGAGTAAAAGGCAAGTGCAGCGTGCACTTTTATCCTCAGCCCTTTGGCACCCTGTTCTTAACCTTGTAGTAAACTAGCACTTTCAAATGCTAGTCAGTGTTAAAAATAAACACCACCAAGTTAACCCTTAATTCATCTCAGCTATTTGTGACAAAGTAGAATATTCCCTAGCTGTCTTTAAGTCCTCAGGATAAAAGACAATCTTCAATGCACAATCAACCACTAGAAAAGAGGCATGCTCATACCCAAACTGCTTTTTAAAAGGGTGCAAGGTTAGACAAAATCTCTGTCATCTCTAAAGCACTAGTTATGGTTTTTAAGTTGTGATCATTATAGCTTAATCTTTATCACGGGATGTTACTAAATTATCTTTACTATTACTAAAAGTTCAAACCTACTGGAAGTTTCAAATTTTTATTTCAAAAGAGTTAACAAAATGTCTAAATAAAAGAAGGGGTTGGTGACAATGCTCAGCAAGTAAAGACTCTTGCTGCTAAGCCTGACGACCTGAGTCAATTCACAGGACGAGGTACCAACTCCTGCCAAGTGACCTGTGTGCCATACATATTGTAGTCTCTCTCTCTCCTCTCTCTCTCTCTCTCTCTCTCTCTCTCTCTCTCTCTCTCTCTCACACACACACACACACACACACACACACACACTCTCTCTCCTACACACACTCAACTCACTCTCTCACACATACTCATGCACACACACATATACACACATTCACAGTCTCACGCACACACACTCTCTCTCATGTATACACACATACACACATACTCTCTCACATACACACAGAAAGAGCGAATATATATGACAGAGAAAAAGAGTATGTATATGAATGTATGCAGTCACTAACATCACTTCTTGAAGGAAGAGAGTGGGAACATACTTTTAAAAAAACTCTTAAATTTCCAGACTACTAATTATGCCTACTTATGTAGCTTTTGAGTTATTTTTAGAACTAGATATTTATATAAAGTTGTTGACTATCATTATTATTTTGTGACAACAGCACTTATTAGGGAAAAATAAAAAAGAAAAGCAGACAAGCCAGGTATGGTGTGCACCCCGTCAATCCACCACTCAAGAGTGAGGGGGGGCTTAGGACCAGGCCAGGCAGGAAGGGAGACTGATCAGAAAACAACACAGAAACAAAACCTGAACAACCCTACAGAACACAACACACACCTCCCAATATTCTGTAGGCACATACTAAAATAGTAATGACATGACGACTGTGACTTATTACAAGCCCACGCCTGTGGAAGAATGGAAAGAAATGGGAGTCAGGGGCATAAAAACCTGGGTCATGTGCTGGTATTTATTAAATGTGAGTAATAAATATGGGTGTGTTATGCACAAATCTAAGGCTTATCATAATTTAAAAAGTTAATTTTAAAATTCAAAAGGGCATGAAAAGTACTAGTAAGCACTATTTTAAAATGTAAATATAACTAAATCTATTAATCAGTCACTGAATAAAGACTAGAAATATCTCACATTAAGAGGATGTCAGCTGATCAGAACTTTCCTTCATATACTTCTGAGTTGTGACTTAAAAAAACAGAAAACAGAAAAAGATAAACATTATCTTCACAATACCAGCAGATGCAAAAATGGTCTAAACTTTATACCACTAATCTGCCAACTACGACTCTAGACGAGGCTGCTTGGGTTCAGAGGTGCTGATGTGTGGCTGCTGCTGTTGTGCTGGGGTTGAAGCCCTAGCCTCCTCACACATGCTGGATGAGCACTCCCCGCTGAATTGCATTCCAGATGTTCAGAGATTTTGAAATGTGAAAATAAATGCATCACTGATTGATGAGACCTGTTATGTAACTGTACAGTCCATCTCTTTCTGACCTGAGATCAGAGGGTCCAATTATCTATTATTGATCATAATTATTGATCATATTACCGGTCACTTTTAAGGTGGAGTTTGGTTTAAAAATAATAATAATAATAATAATAATAATAATAATAATAATAATAAAAAGCTGGATATGATGACATATATCTGTAATCCTAGGACAAGGGAAGCTGAGGCAGGAAGACTGCCAGGAGTTTAAGGCCACCAGACCACATGACAAAGCCCTGTCCAAAAAAATCAAAGATAGAAATAAAAGAACACTTGTGAATGGCAATTACTAGAAAGGAAGACACTATAAAAGTGTAACTATGTCTTAAGTACTTATAAACTGAGTACAACATACAGGGTTGGGAGCATGTGGTTCAGACTTCTGGTTTCTATACCCGATGCTGACGGACGGGCCTCCTAAAGTGACACAGCAGGACTACAGAGCACATACGGCTTGTACTTGGGAATACGCCCTGCCCACCTTCCTCAAATGCTCTTCTCCCGGTTAACTGATGGCAGGGTTAGCAGGGCCAATGGATCCATAGGCAGTTAGTTCTTCCTGTCCTAAGTCCAGTTTCCTTCTGATAAGCAAAATTCCACAAGGTTTCCTTTATTCTACTCCATGTCAATTTATTCAAGATCGGGTAAAGGTTTTTCTCTAAAACTGTTAAGTATTTCACACGTTATTTGCTGTAAAAACTTAAAATATATAGATTTCTGTATGTTCATAGGTTCAGGCAGTAAGCAGTAATTTACAACCAGACAAAATAACCAAGTATTAAATATGTAACTTTAATCTGTACCAACTACTTTACTTTTCAAAGTAGGCTTCTCTCCTCTTCCGCAGCTCTTCTGAAGTAAGATTGGTATGTGGTGTCTGCGGACTATCTTGAGACATACTTCTGGAACTACCTAAAAAAAGCCAATCATTTTATATACCTGTTCAAGCAGCAGTATGTTTGTTCTTCCTGGAGCAAGCTTCTAGAAAGTTTTCTTCTCAAGAACATTCCACTACTGCTCTGTAAATGTAAGAAGGCTATGGAAGTCTCAGGGAAAATCTAAGGTGTTACTGCGACTGAGGCTGATGCCATCTGTGATGCCGATATGAGAATACAAGTCCACAGCTCACCCGGTATGAGAAGTCTTCAAGACCACACTTGCATACTCTTTAACTTCCCCAAACTGCATTTACACCTTCAAAGGCATGACATTCCTCAAAGAAATCCATGATGACAACCATGACATGACCTCACTCTGTTCTCAACAACTTAGAAACCTAAGTTCTCACCAGTAATTGTACTAAACACAGATCCCATATTAATCGTGACAGTGGTAAGATGGTTTTCTGTGCATTACTGTAATAATCCAGCCAGGCCCCTGCTAATAAAACATGGGACTTCACACTACATGGAGTATGCAGAGGCAGGGCCTGGAGGTGAGAAGTCTAGGATACCAGGAATGGCTATGTTAAAGGGTCCTCAACTCAATAAGACATTTAAAGAATTCAGATGATGAGCAATCTCATTAAAAGTAGAAGCAGCTTCATATAAATTAGATTAAAAGAAAATCACAAAAATAAAGTACTTCATGCTTTCAGCAAACTGCTTTGAGTATCTCAACACTTTTTTCTGCCTACATTCCCAAGGGGGTTTATCGTCACTCTCCTCCACTGATTGACTTACATCAATGAAAAAGGTGTAGCCCGCAGAAGAGGGCTTAAGTTTTATTAAGTTGTACAGTCAGGAAGTGCAGCGTGTCCACTGGCATGCAATTGTTAAAACGGCTAGCTTGGGTAAGGGTCATCTAGCCACTAGAAGACTAATTCAATTAGCTGTTTGTATTAATTCAGTATTGTAATCAAGTAACATAACCAGAAGTAAAATTATAACTGTATTAAACACAATAAATATAGTCCTAGTATAATACAGGTTATAAAACTGATTCAAGATCAGGGAAATCTAAAAAAAATACTGAAATTCTAGAGCTATTGCTTTTGCAGTAACTATCAAAGAACTTCCAAAAGCACAAAATTTTCAGAAAAGCTGAGGATAACGTGAACCAGTTCTCCAAAAATGACTAAAGTACACACCAAAATGTTCATACCTTGCATACTAAGCTGAATGGCCCTTCGGAGATCAGCTTCTTCATCCTCTATATCAACTTCCTGACGACTTATCGCTAGAGCCCTCTGTAAATCATCCTCATCTTCATCCAACATTCCCGACCCGTCGGCCGCCTCTAGGACTCGTTCCAGATCTGCTTTGAGAACACTAAACAACAAATGCATTCATAAAAATTACAGCCTGGCCTCTGATTTTATTTTTCATTAAAAAAATTTTTATGTGTATGGAGATTTTGTTTGTATGTATGTTTTGTACAATGTGTGTGTAGTGCCTGAGCAAGCCAGAAGAGGGTGTTAGATTCCCTGAGACTGGAGTCATAGAAAGTTGTGAGCTACCAGAAAGGTGCTGAGAATCAAACCTAGATCCTCTGGAAAAGGAGCTGTTGCTCTTAACCACTGAACCATCTCTCCACTCCGTTGGTCTTCTACTTCAGATAAAACATAAAGGCACTTACAAACTAAAGATTTGGGATCAAAAAACAACACTCTAGAAGACAAGGTCTAATAACAGAACAACTGAATCTAAAGGAAGATATTTGAGTAATTCGAAGTGGCTCATTCCATAAACTTCACTAAAACACAGTCTTGCTGGGCACTGTGGCATATGCCTGTTGAGTAACAGCTACTTGGGAGGCAAAGACAGAAGGATGTCAGAGTTAACAACTGGGCAACTTAATGAGAGCTGTCATCAGAAGTGGGGGATGAGGGATGGAGTGGGGTGCAGTGGGGAGGGGTGGGGTGGGAGGGATGGGATAGGACGGGATGGGGGGGACAAGGATGACTAGGATGTTGTTCATGAAACTCAGGATCTGAACACAAACACTAATAATAATAATAATAATAATAATAATAATAATAATAATAATATAGCAGCTCAGTTTGGGATGGGGGAGGTATATCCTAGATATGTAGCACAGTAGGTAGAATAATTGTCTAGCATACACAAACCCCTGGGTTCATTTTCCTGCATCATGAATAAAAGAGCATGGTGGCACACACATTTATAATGCTAGCCAGCCCGAGCTACTTAAGATCTTTTATTTATTTATTTATTTATTTATTTATTTATTTATTTATTTATTTATCAATTTTTTGGGGGGAATTCAAGACAGGATTTCTCTGTGTAACAGCCTTGGCTGTCCTGGAACTTGCTTTATAGACCAGAATGGTCTCAAACTCACAGAGATTCGCCTGCCTCTGCCTCCCGAATGCTGGGATTAAAGGCATGCGCCACCACCGCCTGGAGAGATCTTATTTCAAAAAACAATAAATACAGAGGCTCCACCAACAACATGTAGGCATGTCAAACTGCCTCCTAAACACATTTAGACCTGTAGACGAATGCTACTCTCAGGAAAGCTTCTTTTTTGCAGCCAGTTTTTGGTTGCCCACCAGAACTAAATAACTAGGAGAGCTAATTGGTGGAGACACCACACACTTCGGTTACATAACAGAGAAATCAAGCAAGAACTGAGCTGGAAGCTTCCACTTCACTGACCAGCTTTCATAGGCTGGTATAGGTGCTATGTAGGCTGCTAGAAAAGAAAAACCATTAATAGTCTTAACCAGACCCTGTAAATGCTACGCTATAATATTATCATGCCAGAAATGGTGACATGACTATTATGGAGGGCAACCAACCACTTTTTCTTTTCTTACCCCGCCCCGCCCCCCGGAGACAAGGTCTCACTATGTAGCTCTAGCTGTCCTAAAACTCAATATATAGACCTGACTGGCCTCAATCTCAGAGAACTCCACTTGCTTCTGCCTCCTGAATATTAAAGGTATGTGCCACCATACCTGGCCCAACCATTTTTTTGATAGGATTTGAGAGCCACTCCACAGAAAGCAATTCATGCCTGGTACCATAAACCTGTCAAAAGCCCATAGGTCTTAGGGCTGAGTAGGTCATGGGCCCTAGGTGGGGAACACAACTACTACTGTTTTACTAAATAGACATGTCAAACTCCCTTCTAAATACATTTAGACCTATAGATTTGTGCTCGGTCAGAAAAACTGCTTTGTGCAGGGCGGGCAGTGGATAGCAGCTAATGCAAAGACTCAGAACCATTCAAAGTGCTTGAGAATAGGTGACCATTAGGTGCTCAGACTTGAATGGGATGCCTATATCAACCCTCAAGGAACTTGATGAGAGGGGGCGGAAAGAATGTACGAGCAGGAGATTAGGGAGGGATGCTGCGAAATGCCATCTTCTGACCAAGACATGGCTGCTATGCTTGTGAACTCACTATAGTTACCAGCACAGACCTGCACAAGATCAGGCGATCACCATTCCTGAGTGGATAGGGGAGCACTCATAAGGTCCCCATCCCTAGCTGAAAAGCTACTTGGCAGTTTTCGCTGCTAAGGGAGGTGGGTAATTTTTCTTCAGTGGTACAGCCACGGGTAGGGTGTCCATGCAAGCAATTCTAATTAAACTCAGTGATTAAAAAAAGAAACAACAGAATAAAACAGGAAGTGAACCTGTTGGAAAGATAAAGGGATTCAGAGGGAACAGAAAGGGGTTAAGACAGGATAATGAAGAATGAACATAATAAAAATAATTATATACATGAACAAAATTGTCAAGTAAATAATACTTAAAATAAAATTACATAAACACATCAAAGTCTTGAATTCCCTGTCCCCCATCAAAGTATTTCCATATAATTAAAAAAATGGTCAAAAATTTTAAAAAATACATGAAACAAAAATAGGGGATTGGGCATAACTGAATAGAATATTTGCCTAGTATGAACAAGAGGTTGATTCATAGCACCACAAAAACAAATACACAAAATAAAAATAAGATTAAAAAAAAATCATTGGTGGTAAATGATTACACATTAAAATATAAGCAGTGTCTGGAGAGATGGTTCAGTGGTTAGTATTACTTCCTGCTCTCCAAAGGGCCAAGTTCAGTTCCCAGCACCCCCACATCCTGCAGCTCACAATCACCTGTAACTCTAGCTCCATAGGATCCAACCCCCAATACCGGCCCTGGTAAGCACCAACACACATGTGGCATGAAAACTTCATTCTAAGGGCATGATATATCATGTACTCCATAGTCACACTAAATGTTTACCTCTGTTCTTTGAGCTGTGCCAATTCTTCTCCAATAAGTTTTGGTCGATGCATCTGCTGGACCTTGATCATCTGCAAAAGCTGGTCAGCTTCGCAGTCTGGCAGATCACCCTTAACAACAAATATAGAATAACCTAAAAAGAAGCAAAAACAAACTAAAACAACTAGTAGGAGGTTCAGACTTAACTTGAAACGATAGCTGACAGAAAGGTAACAGTACAGCTGGAAACACATGAGGTGCAATTCAGAAAGACCTGACTTATGCGATAACTCTCACTTGGATCAGGAGGGTAGTCTCTGACAAACCCCACAGAATCGAGCCTCACTGTTCTCATCAGGTAGACTCAGTGACTACAAGAAACAAAAGCAGTCCTGTCTACATGGGCCCTAGAAAGGTAGTGCCTGACCACACGACTACTCACTGAAGGGAGAGGGCAGGCAGGTACAGAAGGGGTGGAGCAGGCAGGCAGGTAGAGGAGGGGTGCGTGGTGGTATTCTGATTGTACTGAAATGTGATTTTAATTGTATGTTAATAAATAAAGTTGCCCGGGGGTCAGAGCTATTAGAGCCATAGACAGAGTGTGGTGGTGGTGGTGGTGGTGGTGGCACACGCCTTTAATCCCATAGATCTCTGTGTGTTCAGGGATACAGCCAGCATTGGAGACATATGGCTTTAAGACTTAGAGGGCTGTACATACAGACAGTGACAACCAATGAGAAGGCAGAACAAAAAGACTATGAAAAGACATACACACAGGAAGTAGGTCTCTTTCGGAGAGCTAGGACCACCGCAGGAGGAAGGATGAGATTTTAGCTCTGAGCTCTGACCTCTCGGCTTTCTCTTTTACATTGGTTCTGTGTTTCTTATTTAATAAGACTGTTGGTTACATCTACAGGGGTGGAGCGGGCAGGCAGGTAGAGAAGGGGTGGAGCGGGCAGGCAGGTAGAGGAGGAGATGTTCAGTGAGGAAGAGCACGTGCATGGCAGCTCACAGCCATCTCTAACTCCAGTTCCAGAGGATCTGATGCCCTCTTCTGGCCTCCATGGGGCACCAGTCACACACGTGGTGCACAGATATACATATAAAGAAAACACTTGTACACATAAAATACAAAATGATTTTCCAAACAGTCTTCTGTGAATGTTTGATTTGAAATCTTCCTGGACTGCTAAATGAAGATGCCAGCACCAGGACCGGTGTTCAGAAGGAATGTCTACGCTAAAGATAAAAGTCTGGGAATCATGAGTGTACAGATCGTACTGTGATTAAAACAACCTGGAATCTGGGTGACTCTAGCAGTTAGAGACGGGAAAGGGTATGAGCCTGAAAGAAACGGCGAGTGAGACAGGCAGATGCCGACATGTAATACCACTGTGTAATCTTTAAGGACATAAGGGACCTAAGCACTGTTGGTTAACAGAGGCTGAGATGACAAAGGACAAGCAGACATCAAATGCCACATCATCCCCAAATCAGCTCGAACCTAGTTAGGTACCTACAACTCAGTTCTAGTCACTAGAACAGCCAGGGGTCAGAGGAAAATATTCACAACAAGAAAAAAAACCAAGATGTAGGAAACAGGCAAAAGATCCATTCTCTTCCCCTGCAACAACGTTAGTAAATAAATTAAAGGAAAAAACAGAGATGAGGAAACTTCTAAGTAGATTTAGGGAAAAAAAATAACCAAATACAATTATTGAACCTGATTTCATTCAACTCAGAGAGAAATGTGAAAGAACTAGTCAGGGTTGAGAGGTAAGAGAGACTTAAGCACTGGGTATCTGATGTCATGAAAGCACTGTGGTTAGCCAGCTGGGGATATGGGTCAGAGTAGAGTTCTACCTCACATGCACACAGCCATGGGGTTTTCGATCCCCATCACCACAAAGCACAACATTTTTAAGTAAGGTTACAATGTCATTATGTATGTTTTTGTTTAAAAAAAAATCATTTTTAAAGATTTAACAGAAAAAATAGTAGAGTGAACAAAAACTAGGCAAGGTATAAAGAAATAGGCCGGGGCTGGAGAGATGGCTCAGTGGTTAAGAGCACTGACTGCTCTTCCGGAGGTCCTGAGTTCAATTCCCAGCAACCACATGGTGGCTCACAACCACCCATAATGAGATCTGGTGCCCTCTTCTGGCCTGCAAGGACACATGCATGCAGAACACTGTATACATAATAAATAAATAAATCTTTAAAAAAAAAAGAAAGAAAGAAATAGGCCATGAAGTAGAGGTACAGGGAGATCAAGAAATCATTTCCTTTCCTTTTATATTACACACACACACACACACACACACACACACACACACACACGAAATTTGTTGTATTCTGTTTAGACATGGTATAATCAACTGCCTCCTCAAATAAAGGAGGCCCAGGAATTGAATCCTGGTGAAAAGGCAGGATTCACCAGTGATAGCGAGAAGAGAGACTTTTAGAGAGGCCCTGGTTTATGACAACACAACTGGAATGAGTTCAACAGGAGACAGTGCACCAGAAATAATTCTAATGAGAAAATTATAAATGGGCAAGCAGCCATAGTTTCATAGTTAAGAGAAGCTCTTCATTTCATAAAAAGCCAAGAGCTTTTTACCCAAGGACAGACACTTAGGTAGTGGGAGGAATGTTCAACCCAGGAGAGCAGAAGGCCAAAATCGAATGTTGACTAGGTGGGAAGAACAGGGATACTGCATACATGGAGGGATGGCCTTAGATGTAGGGCTCAAAATACAAGAAAACACAGAAGCAAGGTGACAGCTTTGCTATCAGGAAGAGATGCCTATGTTCTCAGAAGAATACAAGAGAGCAAGGCATAAGGCATACCAAGCTGTAAGGAAGGAAGAGCTAAGCTGTGAAATAACCACCAAAGAAACATTTGAAATCTGTGAGGGCAAATGACAAATTAGAAAAACTAACCAACATATTTTATGTAATTTTTAAGCCATGTTTGGTGCTGTGATACAGGAATGTCTGGGGCCAAGATTTGGTTTAATTGCGGTTAAGATTCTTGTTATTTAAGAATAATGGGGGGCTGGAGAGATGGCTCAGAGTTTAAGAACATTGGCTGTTCTTAAACTCTTCCAGAGGTCCTGAGTTCAATTCCCAGCAACCACATGGTGGCTCATAACAACAGGATTCCCAATACCTCTCTTCTGGCCTCTTTGAGCACTGCATGCATGTAGTGCACACAGAAACATGCAGGCAAAACACCTTTCCACTTAAAATTTTAAAAATCTTTAAAAAGTAAAATAATCAAAGTAAAAACTGCAGAGTATAAGAGGAGTTCTTGAGTCTCCTGACAACTTGAAAGCCTGGTCAGAATGGCCAAGGAGAAGGCATTCATAGAGGTAGAAGGTGATGGTCAAAAAACACCATGCTTACGACTGAGAATTAAAGGTAGTTGTTATTGATAATGTCAAGACAGTAGTGAAGAAAATAATCTTTGAAAGAGACATGGTTACTGGTGTAGAAATGACTAAAAATTTATGGAAGAGAGATAGATAACCAGTCATCTAAAGTCTCCAGTAAAAAAGGAGGTGGCTTACAGATGAGTACAGGTAGGGCGTGGTTAATCCAGAGGCAGGTAATTCACAGGCATGGAGCCCATAGAAAGAACAGTGGCTGAAAATAAGTCAGCAGGAATGGTAGGAGCATGTACCTCCTGTCAGCCCTGTGATAGACAGAATACAGAAGGGAAAAGGTATCACTTAATAAGGGATGCAAAGGAGGCCCTGGCTGAGGGGAGGTCCTAATGTAGGGAGCACCCACATGGAACTATGTCACCCAAACCACAGCCCCGAATTGAACACCTATACTGTAAGGGTAATTCACTGCCACTGCCAGAGATCATATACTAGTATACACACAAATAATGACTCAGTTTTTCTTTAAGCTACTTTCAAAAATAAAATTTTTGGTATTTATTTACCTTCTTGCTGTAATTGAGCCAAGAATAGTGCGAGGTATGTATCTGATATTAATTCTGGACCCGTCAGCAGAGAATTCAAGTTAAACCACTAGAAAAAAAAAAGATACCAATATCGAAGTTAATGAACATTATATGCAAAAATAATTTCTCATGTTAAACATATAACAGGCCAAAATTTAGTAAGATGGTCTAAATAACAAATATATCAAACTAAGATTTTCTGAAGTACTGAATACTGTGATTAGAAAAAAATGCTGTACACCTGCCACTATTAAATGCCTTTTCAAAAACAATTTTTTAAACAACAAATTAAGGCATAAACTTGAACTCCTTCTAAAAGGACAGAAGCTGATAGTACCTTAAAATGCCCTTATTGACAGCTATAACTACATGGTTTCAAAGTATCAGTCAACACACCTACCCATGTCATACTAGCATAGGAAAAAATGATAGCTACACACTTTTTCATTTGGTCAAAAGACTCCGATTTTTAAAACATAGATATTCTGGGAAGAGATTTATAACCACCCTTTAACAAGACCTCTAAGCTACTACTGCATCTGATTAACAGCATTAAGTCATAACCGCAGAGGTACCCTTACTTAAACAGAAAAATACAAAAAGGTTCCAAAGTCATGCTCAATTCCATGCAAAACCAACGACTCTTCCTGGATTTTCATACAAGCCAGAGTACTTCTTCCAATCATTTCTTTCTTTACACAGAGACCAGAGGCTAGTCTTGAACTCACAGATCCACCAAGCCTCTGCCTCCTGAGTACTGGAATTACAGGTGTATGCCATCACACCCAGCTAAAAATCTGTTCTTAAGAACATAAATGAGAACCAAGGACCAATATACCAATACTAGCCATCTTCTGTAAATGTCAAAGATAAAATAGTCCAAAATGTAAAAAATCCAAAAAGGATCTCAAAATGTAAAAAGCTCAAAACAATGTTTTCCTACAAATCACTACAAAATTGCTTATGAGTTTTAAATTTCTAGGCCTTAAAAATCCAGGGTTGCTTTATTCAGAAAAACAACACCAGGTCCAAATTTTCTAAATAAACCCTCAACGGCTGGGAGGGAGGAGGGCAGAGAAGTCAAATGAAATTGACCTAGCTCTTGATAGAGGTGATTCCTGTCCCAATTCATCTCTGGGCTACTATACACATCTCCTTACCTGCTCTTCACGACCTCACAGAGCATAAATACTGCTTTTTCCTTAGTTTTTGAAGAAGATTGAACCTAGGACCCTGTGCTCATTTTAAGCACATGTCCTGCCAATGATCTACAGCACTCAGCAATCACTGAAGATTGCTTCCAGATGACCCAGTTAAAAGCTAACAGTACGGTTTACTTAATAAATAAATATATACACACATACATAATACACACACGCACATAGAGTGTCCTTTTCTTTTAAATACTTAATTTTATGTGTATGTATGTATGCACACCATGTGTGTGCTTGGTGCCCACAGAAGGAAGGAGGGGCATTGGCTTCTATGATCCTGGAGTTACAGTCCATTGTGAGGCACCATGTGGGTGCTAGGAACCAAACCCAGATCCTCTGCAAGAGCAGTAAGGTCATACCCACTGAGCCCTATCTCCAGGTTCAATGTATTGTTTCTTTTCTTTTTGCATTTAAGGTAATTTATTTATTCTTGGATTTTTAAATTTTATTTATTTTTATTTTATGTGCACTGGTGTTTTGCCTGCATTTGTCTGTGTGAGGGTGTCAGATCTTGGAGTTACAGACAGTTGTGAACTGCCATGTGGGTGCTGGGAATTGAACCCAGGTCCTTGGAAGAGGAGTCAGTGCTCTGCTGAACCATCTCTCCAGCCCTTTATTCTTGGATTTAAGACAGGGTCTCACTATGTAGCTTTGGCTGGCCTAAAACTCAGAGATCTCCTTGTCTCTGCTGGGAGTAAAGGTGTGCACCACCACACTTAGCATTTTTTTTTTTTTTTT